GAACCTAAAAAAGAGTATGTTAATAAATTGTGTAACAATAGTAGGATAATACAGTATATGAAAATTCGCTCTGATAATTCGTCTGTGCAAATTTTGTAAACATATTAATACAAATACAATTCAAATTCAATTTGGAAATACAGTCGATATGAAATTTTTTCCGCTTTTTCTTAAGGTTTTTTCAAAGTTTCTTCCGACCAAACAACCCTTGTTCCAAGCATTTACACTTTTTGGAAAAAACGATTGACACGACATAAATTTTAAGAAAATTACGAAGAATAAAGGATAACATTTTTTTCCCAGTTACTCCAAGTACAGAGTTTTGCATTTTCTAAAAAAAAATACGATATGTAATTAAATCAATGCAGCATTAAATTGTACTTTCTTTATAAATAAATTGAAAATGATAGGAATTGATGAAAGTTGTGCGTAAAATAAAACAGAAGGACGATGTTCTAAAATATTAACAAACAAAAACCAATTGAAATAAATTAAATAAAAGAATAAAGGCCACAAAAATCTTCACTCAAGAACTCGCTCTGCGTTTAATTTTATATGCAAAAATACGTACAATGGCAATTTTCACCGCAAATAAAGTAGAAAGCCTTAATAAACTTTTGCCTTAAAGTAAGATAATTTTCAGTTGAAAATCACTTGCTCAGAATAACCGGCAGTTTCATGCGCGAGTGGGGTTTAAAAACGTTTATTTCAACTTTGTTAGTTACTGTTTTGGTGATAAATCGGTCCATTGGAACTTCCGATCCCAAGAAGTACCTTTGCATATAACGTTTGTTACAACAAAGCGCCTTAATAAAAATGTATTTTAACAAATAATAAACAGAGAAGCTAACCAGAAGACTTCAAAACAAATGTGCAAATCCCACAACGACATCAAGGTAACATTTAGTGGATAAATGTGGCATGAAAGTATCGAAATGAAGGCCGAATTTTCATCATGTAACGTACAAGTTTTTACATTTATTTCTTGAGGCGTTTCTGCAAAATTTAATGGATGACTGGCGGTACAAAATCCATATACCGTGGTTTTGGCAAAAATCATTCATTCCAACTACAAACGAGGTTGATTTAATATTTTTAAAACGGTCTTTGCTAAACCATGCCCGGTTTAATGGAGAATTATTTGGCGCATCGAGTCGTCAGATTGTTCATTAGACGACACACGCGTGTTTTTCACGATATGATTCATTGTGTTTGCTAATTTTAACAAACGACAAAGACCCAATATTTCATGTCTGCAAGTATTTTATCAACATTTCAACTTATCAAGGGCTCCCGGCACATTTATACGACCTACAGATAAAAAAAAAAGTTTGTAAAGAAAAATGTTGCGTTTTAAAGTAAAAGTGCTAAATCGCCAGCCTCAAAGCCAGAGAATTTCTCATTTTATTTGCGGCAAGTTTCCAGGAATTTCCTGTTCCTGCCACATTGATTTGAATTTTTCATTTGGCGATTAACAATTATTGGTAAAACCTCGGGTCTTTTTACCACAGCTTCGCTGGAGGTTTTGCCCTGTTCTGGCCCCCCTAATAGATCGATATGAAGGGAACTTTTTTGGCTTCGCAGGAGTGGAGTGGAAAGTTGTTGCGTATGAGGGTTAAAGTGTTTGATCCAGCTGTTCAACCTTTGTTTGCAGGATGAACGTACGGAATCGATAACTGGCGGACAAAACGCGACACTGCTATTTACCTTAATTGTTTGACGTGCGGCTTTTCGGTGCAAAACTCTTTCCAAGTAAACAGAAAAAAACGGCAAATGAGCTGATTAGCCAGAAACTAAACCGATCTATTGTAGGTTCACTGTATCAAGCAACAGCCCAAACAAAGGATTTGTGTAACGCTTTAGGCGCGCACTAATTTTTTTCTTCAGTCCCTCGCAGCTGTGTGAATTACGGTCTTTAGCGCGCTATCGTATTGTTATTATCCGGCATATGTAAGCAAGCGGTACTTTACGTAACAGTCGACATAACTTGAGAGTGAAAGTACCACCTTGATTTCGGTTGCATAAAATTTCGCATAAACCTATCGCGGACCGCTACAAAACTGGAACAAAAACATTTTCTACCGTGCCTCTCTTGCTTTTTGTTAAAAGAGAACCGACGCGCATAAAGATTGGTTTTCGACTAGCTCAGCCAGCCAAAGCAGGATTGCAAACGCCGCAGTAATTTTCGAACGGCAGCAGAAATGGCAAAATCGCGTCGAAGTCGTACCCTCCATCCTCCATTTAGCAAAACGGTCACTGACGTGTGCCTGTGTGGATGTGGATCATATGAGACTATCAGGATGTTATCGATGATTTTTCCTACATTTTTTTTCGATAAGCCAGCAGGATTTTTAGCGCAATTTTCCCCTCTTTATGCTTGAAACCATGCTTAATTTTACTGGTTCCTGTGGCTTTGTGGTTGGAGTTTTTTCAGTTGATCATTTAATTGTTTGTCCTTAAAGTTTGGGAGATTCGTACCTGAAACAGCTATTTTTGTCTTGGATAACAATTCTAGTCCAGTTTTGCTTTGCAACTTCCTTATTTCGCTTTAACGTTTTTGCCAATTAGTGTTTCCCTGCTTGATCTGAACTGCCCAACTCAGCAAGCAAATAAACATTAGACGGAGAAATTTGCCCGAACTTGGGAACTGGGAAAATTATGATTGCGGCAGGCGATTTGATTTGAGTTTCAACTATTATCTAGTCCAGTTCTTCTCCTGCAAGAACGTGTATTTTTTGCATAAATCAACTAATTCAGATAAACGTTTCTACCGGGTGAAAAATAAATCAATGTAAATTTTTTAAAGTTTGGCAATTGGACAACCTAGACTTTTTTTGGATTTTAACGCCAATGGCACACAGACAACTAATATCTCAAAATGGTTTTCCAATTTTCCCTTATTTTTCTTAATTCTAGGGTGGTCTCAAAACATCTCAAAGTTCCTAATCTTGCAGTGGTCACGTACTTTCCCATTTTACATTTCCCAAATCTTCAGCTCATGTTGAAGCTAAAACTTCATAGTCGACTTAACAGCAAAAAAGCCATTTTTAAGGCCACTTTGTAAATAAAATATAGGTAAAAATTGAAAAAAATGTTTTGAGACACCACATCTCTCTAGTGTTGGTGTTAAAATCCTGTAAAAATCTAGTAAAAATACTAACCCAAACGTTTTTTTCTTGCAAAACTTTCATAAATTTTGCATTGTTTCAATTTCCACCCTGCAGGAGCTTTAGCTAAAATATTTAACTTTTGCAAGAAACACTCACTGAGAGACAAAGAATTGCACTAAATAAGGCTGCAAACAGAAATCAAACCGCTTCCAGCAATGAGAATGTATCCACTTCCTAATATATTGAAATATTGAAACTGAAGGAAAAAAATAGGCCAAAAAACTTCTTCCTTTGCAATTTTACAAACAAATATAGGGAAGCAAAAAGACGTTTTCGAATTCTAAAATCATTTGGCATTCAAAATCGTCGGTCGATAAAAAAAATCGATTGTCGTTTTAACGTAAAGTAACACATTTGAGGGCTATCAACAAAAGCATAAAACCCAGTTCTAGAAACTTGTAGATACTCAAAATGCAAATGCAAATTTTTTTTTTGCAAAAATGCAAAAAAAAGCTTAGTTCTCCAATCGGGTGACGTTCAACACTACAAAGTTTTGATTTTACGAAAAACACATCCAACTTTAAAAAAATCCGCCAAAAACCGTTTTTGAATAATGGAAATGCGCCGTTTTCTTAAATCTTTAATAGCGTTTCTCTGTTCAGTGCTAGTTATTGCAACATGATAACAAGAAGCTTTCAACATTTCGCATATAATTTGGTTTTCTTACCCCAGGCTATGTATGCATTTATTTCTGCTGAGACAGTAAAGAAGAAACATGGAAAAATTCAATATTAACAGTTAATTTTCTTGGATAAACTTTCATGATCTAAGAACGATGATCTGCGATTGTATAACCAAATATATGAAATCATCGTAAACAAGAGCAAAATTATACAAATTGTACAACTCAAAACTAAAAAATACATCAGCGCTTTAACATGCCAAATTTTTAGATGTTTGATAGTTTTATTAAATTTATATTTGTCATTGAAAACTTATTGATTTATTGTTAAAAAATCTTCTCCATGTTCAGTCTTCTCAATATCAGGCTCATATTTAAAAGTCCAACCACCATCTTCACTATCTGAACATTTTTTTCTTGTTCTTATATAGGGTTTGACTTTCCTTGAATCCTTTTTTCCGATGGATCACTTAAATCACTCCCTTAACCAATGACCTTTATTCGCATATTTCCAATCACAAATCCCCCGATCTGAATACCGAAAAAAACTGCAAAAAGCTCTATTGAGCTTCGAATAAAAAAAGAATAATGGGTAAAAGGTCTCGAGTAAAGTTTACCCCTGAGATTTAGGATTTTCATTTGAAATTGTAATCAACCGAATCTTTTTAGCCGAGATTCGCTTTTGGATTGGATAAATACATTTTAAGTGATTTATTTACCTGATGTATAAATATTTCTGCGTAATACTCTTTTGTGTGTCAACATAGCTTAAATCAGAACCACCTGGAAAAGTTGTGGTTTAGTTTTGGTTACCAAGAACCAACAAAAAAAATGCTTTTCGCGATATTTTCGACGCAAAAAACCTGTGTGCTGATTATCAGTTTGCATCAGAGCCCGATGGACTAAAAGGAAATTTTCCTGATTTTATATCTGGATTGTGAGCGCGCGTTTCTTTGGCATTATCTTTTACTGGCTTATTCAACATCGTTTTCCTCAAAGCACCAAGTGGCCGTTTTTCCTTCATATATGTTTCCCATTGTTCGGCTGACATATTTACCGAACGACAAGCATATTGCTCATGGTTGAATGTGACCTCGGACTTTTGCAGATGATTATTATTGAAGCAGGAAGTCACGGAACAAGTCAACAACCGAGAACGTGCAAACCAGACGACGATTCTGGTATTTTTTTACTTGTCTAAATTGTTAATCTTACATATAAATTAGCCGTCTAAGCGCAACAGTTGTGGACAATTTCCGCAGAAAATTATGATGTGGGATATTGACATTTTTCCTGCCTCAACGTGCGGAAAAATGAGCGTGAATGTGAGCTATTGTGGTTTTTGAGCGGCTGATTCAATGAATGGAAATTTTAGTCGTTTAAGCGCCAAGTCGCCGAGATTGGTTGCATATGATGCGTTTGATTAGTAAGCATTTTCATTTATTAATTTGCTCTTGAAACCAAAATGAATTTCAATTAATGCAATGTAAAATGTGACTGTGTTTCAGACTTGAGTCACTCTCATACTCTTGGCGAGGCGCTGGATTGATAATTAGTGATAAATGAATGTACAGTAAAGTCCGCTAATAATGAACCCGGTTATCGTGAACTTTCGGTTAAAACGAACTTTTTTCTTTTAATTGAAACGTCGTCCATAAAGACCAACGTATTTTTTTACTGGGTATAACGAACCCGTTTATAACGAACTTCCGGATATAACGATCACTTTTTAGGTTAGTAGTTTATTCACTTTCCGTTTATAACGAACTTCCACGCTCAGCAACACTAATCGTGCAGAGTTGTTTATATTAGTGAGAGCGAGAGACAGGCAGTGACTTGTTCTTTGCCGCGTTATGTATGTAAATCGTTTTAGAATGGAAAAACAAAAACGCAAAGCTTTTTCACTCAATGAAAAGTACGAGATTATTAACAAAATAAAAAGTGGAGTAAAGCAGAGTGACATTTGTAAGGAATTAGCACGTGGAAAGTCTACTGTTGCAACAATATGAAAAAACAGAGAAAACATTTTATCAGTGTATGACAAAACAAATGTTAGATGTAGGAAGTTAAAATTATCTGCACATGAAAAGGTTGGCAAGGGACTTATTAAGTGGTTTACTCAAAAAAGAC